TGAAGCCAAAAAAAAAAAAACCCAAAACCAAAAATAAAAACAAAAACTACAAATGCTACTATACAAGTTACAATTTTAGATAAAATAGAATACTAGTATAACTTTGGGTGGGGAGAGATAATTAGTTTGCCTCGTTTAACTCTACTTAATTAGTAGTATCAGTGACAGATTACATAAGTCTTCAAGATATGCATCCTTAACCTGTTTTGGCCATTCATTAATCAGAAGGATGGAAACCTCCTAAAATGATAATGGTGCATATGGTAGGAGCCGTAACTGACTGATCTTTCTTTAGCTCCTGCCATCCTGATTAATGTCCTCCACGTTTATAACTCTTTGCTGTCTCCCTATAAGACCTTCACTCTATCCACTTCCTACCACTTACATTTCTCAACTTTTTCCAATTTGAGGGCATTAAAGCTTTTCTTTTTTGACTTTCATCCCTTGTCTTGTGTCTGCTAAGAATATCCAGTGAACCTTCTGCTTCCCTAAAACAAGCTTCCTAAATGCATTTAGGGCTTCCCTGACCATGGCAAAATCTTGCTGTCTCAGTGATCATAGGCAGCAACCTCAATCTTCCACTGGTAGTTTAGAGGCACTTAAACCACTTTAATTACCAGGAACAATCAACTTGGCATATTCAAAACCTTCTAGAATCATCCTGCAGGATATCCAAGTTACAAATGTCTTCATATACCAGAGTTCAGTGGTATTCATTACAATTCCTTGGTGGGGGAGGCAACGGAGTGAGGTGGACAATGAAAGATTATGAGACCAAAAAAAAAACCATGCTTCATTGCTCATAAGGATTACCCTCCTTCCCTGTTCACCAAATCTGTATAGTTCAGGACCAAATATATACCTATCCAATACCAGTTTTTTTTTTCAACATTCTAATTGTATTTGGTTGAACCAGTTTAGTTTTTGTGTGGATTCTACTTGGCAATGAACACTTTCTAAACTCTTCAGTAACAGGAATTTTCTTGCTAAATTTAAAATTACTATATAATGGTGCCGAAAGTATGCATTGCATATTATTTTGTCCATGTTGTGTAATAATATGTAAATAGTGCTGCTGCCTCCCACCCCACAGCAAGTTTCTAAGGAGTTCCAGTTACGAAGGGGTAGTTGACCTCTTTTCTTACCTCTTCTTTCTTAGTTTCAGGGCCTTCAGTCTTTGGTTTCAGAGATNTTTTTTTTTCAACATTCTAATTGTATTTGGTTGAACCAGTTTAGTTTTTGTGTGGATTCTATTTGCAATGAACACTTTCTAAACTCTTCAGTAACAGGAATTTTCTTGCTAAATTTAAAATTACTATATAATGGTGCTGAAAGTATGCATTGCATATTATTTTGTCCATGTTGTGTAATAATATGTAAATAGTGCTGCTGTCTCCCACCCCACAGCAAGTTTCTAAGGAGTTCCAGTTACGAAGGGGTAGTCGACCTCTTTTCTTACCTCTTCTTTCTTAGTTTCAGGGCCTTCAGTCTTTGGTTTCAGAGATGGTCTGCCTTTCAGTTTTTTATTTTCTGCTGGTTTTGGCAAGTTATCTAGCTTTTCTTTAATTATACCAATTATTCTATAATCGCCATATGCCTTTGCAATATCCATGGCACTATGCCCTGTTTGAAACATAAACATAAATTCAGAGTTGCAAAAAACAGGTTAAATATAAACCATGTAGCAAATGATATTTGTAAGTTCACAGAGCTAGATCAGATATTCTGTACAGTGGACCCAATTCTAAAATCCCATAATTAAAATGCAATTTATAAGAACAAAAAATTTTTTTTTCTTAACTTTTTGACCATGTTTCTTTAAAAGTTGATAGAAAATATTTATAGATTACATTTTGAATATTCAGTTTATGGTTCTCTCTCCACATTGTGCATATTTCCTTTGGTGTAATAATTCTGCATTATCCTCCCTTTTCCATGATGTGAGGAGGTAAATTCCGAAAGGCCCCGGGAAGTGGGTGGTCACAAGTGCTCCTGGCAAATGGCTGGGAATTATGTCACCTGTAATATCATCAAGCAGACCTGATATAATACTACCTGTGACTCGGAGGCAGCCTGAAGCATCCAGAGGTATTAATGCTCACTCAGAGCCAAAGGAAGCAATGGGTTCCAATATAAGAAAATGATACCTCCAAACAAGGAGCTCAAACATTTATCTGAATGATTTTTTTATTTTTCATGTAGGTATTTATGATATAGAGTAGGCCACCTGTTTACTTCCTTGAGTCAAGGAAGCCTCAATTCAGGAATTACTTTGTCCAGCTTTAAGAGTAATGTTGCAGGATACAAAATCAACACCCCAAAATCAGTAGTGTTTTTATTCTCCAGTAACAAACTAGCAGAAAAAGAAATCAAGAAAGTAAACCCATCTGCAACAGTCACCAAAAAAAATGGAATACCTAGAA